CTGACCCCCCCCCCAAAAATCCTATTTGCCCACCCCTTACCTACTCCCAAGCCACTGGGGGGGCCATAGCCTGGGGAGAGAAACGATGTGTTGAGCCTAAGCTGGGCAGGAGGGTCCAGGGGCTAGGGTGCTCGGCCCTCATTTGGAGGGCACAGAGCTGCTCCCCTCCCCCCTCAGCCAGCTTTACCTGATCTGTAGCCATTCGGGCTCCCTAAGCCTGCAGGGTCGGGAGAAAGGGGGTAACTTAGGAGGGGGCAAAGAGGGCCAAATTTGGGTGTTCCCCCTCCCACTCTGCTGAGCAAGAGTCCACCGCCCCCATCCCTGGGCCTCAGTTTTCCCTCTGATCACAGGAGGAGTAAGGACAGAACCAGGAGCGTAGTCTAGTGGCCAAGGGGAGACTGTCTGGGCTGTGTCCCTGGGTGCAGATCCCCTACTCCCTCTTCTGTAGGGGTGCATGTACCTCTGCCCTCCATTCTTACTGGGGCACTTTTGGACCCCCCCTTTCCTGGAAATTTCATCACCCTCACCCCTATCCCTCAGTGTTTCTCTCCAGCAGCTTAGATGCATCGGGGCTCCGGAGAGAGTCCCTTAAGATGCCACAGGTCACCCTAGCAGGTTGCTCAGTGGTTAGAGCATTGGCCTGCAGACTGAAGGGTCCCGGGTTCGATTCCGTTGCAGGCTCATCCCCAGCCCCAGTCGAGGCATGTGCAGGAGGCAAACAAACAATGTGTCTCCCTCACATCAATGTTTCTCCCTCTCTCTCCCCCCCTCCCTCTCACTCTAAAATAAATAAAGACATATTTAAAAAAATACATAAGAAAGCATATAACATTACTTTCATATCTAGTGTAGGAGAAAGAGAAGCTAAATATGACTAGATGTCTGGGCACCATGACAAGTTTTAGGGCTAATCTGTTTGTTCATAAGGAAAGGGTTTGAGCATGTTTCTAATTTATTGTCATATATTATATATTCTACTTAAAGCCTATGTAATAGCCCTAGACGATGTGGAGGACGCTGGTGCCTCCTGCACCAAGAGTTTCAACATAAAACAAATTTGCTCCATGCAACTATACACAGTGATATTTTTTTTCCTTGTAAGAAAGCAAAATAGGACTTAAGATGTTTGTTCACTTATAAACTGGCATCTGGAAAACTACTGTAGTGTTTTTGTTTTTTTCACTTTTCTGATTACAAAATTAATATATGCTTGTAAAAACACCAGTGACAGAAATGCATGCTGTAGAAAGTGTAAGTTCACCATAATTCCAATATCCAGAGAAAACCGTCACCAACGTGACAGTTTTCTTTATTTCTGCAGTACATGTCAGGTGAGGATGTTTCAGTAAGTCGCTCTACCTTTTTCTCAAAAGCTCTCACCAGACCTCTTGGCTCTAAAGCTAAACATTTGCAGCATCAACTAAATAAAACCCGGTCTGTCTGTCTTCCCATCTTTTTCCAAACATGAGTTAGGATGATCTCCCTCTAAAAGGGATTCATTTAGCCAAAGAGGTAAAACTGAATTCTACATCTATGAATACACACCCAATTTCCCAGCTATCAAAATTACTATTAACTTAACCTGACACAGCTATATAAGCAAATTAATCACCTGAAGGAATAGCACAAAATAAAACGTGCCTCAGAAAAAAACATGTACTGTTGTCAAGGACCTTAGATGCTGAGTAAAGAGGTTTAATCAGTTCAAATTAGGTTTCGTAGTCCTATAAAACACAGCCAAACTGTAAAAGAATACTCAGTGCTAAAGGAGGTTAGAGAATGAGGCAAATACTAGCTGTGCTATTACTGTGTATTCTCGCTATGGTTTATGGGCCATCCTCATTTAACTTGATCTCAAGCAGGTAATCTGCTCAGTCCTCTTGGACAGCAGAGCAACATGCATTAAGAGCCTCCTTTGAGATTACGAACTAAATCATCAATAGCAACCAGCTAAATATCGAGCAACAGAGAACTGGTTAAGTCAATTATAGATCATTAACTTTAAAAATATTTTAAAATATTAAACTATTAAAAATAATTAGTAAAACTAATATGGAAAATGGTAACATATGTTGTATTTTAAGTCCACTACAATTACAGCATTATAAAAATAATAATAAAGCCTAGATGAGATCTGAAATAGCAAAAATACTGGAGTGAAAGGTTAATGCAGGATTCTGAGTTTCCTATTTTTTTCCCTACTAACATATGTTGAAGTAATTTTAAACGTAAAGTAAAATGGAAATATTGCTNTTGGGTGACGATTAAAACAAACGAACAAGCAAAAACAGATGCCACAGGTTGCTGGAGTGAAGACCCTTCTGTGACACTCAGCCCCCTCCTCCCATCCTGTCCCACCTGCAAGCCTTTGACCCTCTTGCTTCCAGGGATGTCCTTCCCCTTTTCTGTCACAACCCAACTTCCTCACCCTTGCAGACCCAGCTCCAGGCCCTCCTCTGGGCCCCAATATTCTCATGCCCAGAGTTGAGATTCTGCCCCATCTTACTCTGTTTTAAGGGTTCGGGTCTGTGCTTCCCACACTTGAGCTGACCATGGACAAGACTGACTGCCAGGAAGACAGGGAGGGACCCTGTGCTCTCCTGGACCCCACATCTGGATCCCAGAGCTGGGTAATATCTGGGGCTCTCCACCAGAGAGCTCCAAGACCCCTGGAAGGAGAGACTAGGTCCTCTTCTTGGACCCTAGAGCCAGGAGGGTCCACTCACCTTTTCCTAGGCCAGGAGACAATGAAGGCAGCCCTGAGGACCAGGGGGTGCTGACTCAGGGTGGGGACTCCAGACACAGAGAGGGGCAGGACCCATGCATCTAGACTCCAGCCCCCTAAAACCCAGACTTCACACACCCAATCCTCCCTCTCTCCAGAGCCCCAGCCTTTAACCCAATGCTCTATCTATAACCCCAGCTCCAACCCCAGCTGCCCAGACCCTATAACTGCCTGACCCCTGCCCTCACCGCCTTGTAGGCTTTCAGAAGTCAGGCAGAGCAGGAAAAGGGCTGCAGGGAAGGCCCAGGTGCCCATGATGCCTTGCAGAGTGGGAGGGCACACACCCTTTGAGCCTTTAAACACCTCTGCTGGGTGGGGGCCCTTACCCAGGCCCCCCTGCTGTGAGTGACAGAGGCTCCTTTGGCAGACCCCAGGGGGTCAACCCCCACCTCCCTCTACAGCAGGAGTCCAGCTCCTGGCCTTCTCCCTGCCCCACTCCTCATTCATCATGGGCGCTGACAGCTGGGACAGGCCCCCACCTGGCCCATGAGGCTTCTCTACCCCTGTCAGGGACTGAGGCCCTGGCGCTAGGCCTGGACGGCTCAGATGTTACCCCAGCAGCTGGTGAGAGGCAGGCAGGCAACTTGGGTACCCCAGGCCCAGCCCAAACACAGCTGGGGAGAAGGGGGAGCCAGGCCCAGAAATGTGGGCGTGGCTGACAGGAGAGACTCAGAATGAGTTACTGTGTTACATGGGGAGGGAGCAGAAGGCAGAAGCCACAGAGTGTTACAAAGGCCGGTGGCCAGGTAACAATGTAGTGCACTGTATCTGACATGTAGACTTGCCCATAAGAAGAGAGGTAATATTATCCCATCTAACCCTGAAGACTGAAGGTATGACACTGGGAGATGGCCCTTTGTCCCCACCTGAGGCTTGCAACAGTGGGCCTGAGCCTACTTTCCACAACGGATGGTGATCACAGAGACTCATCCTGTCCAAGGGTCCTCATTGTTTCTTTCTTTTTTTAAAATATGTTTCTTATTGATTTTAGAAAGAGAGGAAAGGAAGGGGAGAGAGAGAGAGAAACATGGATGGGCTCCCTCCTGCAACCCAGGCATGTGCACTGACCAGAAACAGAACCTGTGCCCTTTTGGTGCATGGGACAGTGCTCAACCAACTGAGCCACACTGGCCAAGGCCTCACTGTTTCTTGATGGTTCTGCTAGGGCCCACCCACTGCAGGAGGTTTTCCCAGCTTCACCTCCATCTCTAGCCAAAATATAGCAGCACTGACTCTAGTTTTGGGGGATAGACTTGGGGGGCCACTGCTCAGAGTGTGGTGGGGGCAGGATTGCAAGGGTGCCTGGGGGTCTAGTAACCATTCTCCATTCCTAGGGGGCGGGCAGGTGGAGTCGGGCCAGGTGAATGGGGCTTGGTGGGACTATGAGAGGACAGGAGAGGCAGGCCTGGGAAATGCCAGGAGTCAAGGGCTGGGCACCAGCCCTCACCTCCTCTAGGGAGTCTGTGGACCTCACTGGGCTGGCTGAGGACAGCAGTGACTCAGGCCCTTGGACTCTAGCCCAGAAGGCCCCACACCCTGTCTATCTGCTGGCCTGCCCCCTGCCTGGTCAGCTACCCCTGGCACCTGTGGCTAAGGAGTCCAGTCTGCCAAACAAGGCAGGCTGGCAGGGTGAGGGCCTAGAGAGGAGCTACAGTGAGGAGGGGGCAGTGGGTGGTGGGTTTTGCTTCTTATATGAGGCCTTTGAGCCCACAGCACCTACAGGATAGCTCTAGCTACCAGTGGACTGCAGGACTTTTTCCAGGTATCCCCTTACCTGTAGTCCCCCCAGCACTCAGTTGTGCCTGCACCTCCCCTTCCAGCCACCCTTGGGCTGCATGCTTGCAGCTCTGTCTCCCCACACATGAGGGCCTGCACCCAGGGATCATGCTTACCTGAGCATGCGCGCACACGCACACACACACACGCACACACACACACACACACACACACACACACACACACACAACCGTGCCTGTGGCACCCATCTCCCCTGACAGACCCACCTTTGCCCAAGGCTCCTGTTGGGTCCCCTCAGTCCAGTGCCCTGGCACAGCACCCCACAAGCCCATCTCCTGCCCTGCCAGACAGAGATCTGTGACCTGGAGTCCTGGAAGCTAGACCTTCCACTGGCTGCTGGGAGTGGCTCAGAGGTGGTCCCTGGCCTCAACCACCCAAGACAGCTTGGGATAGCTGGGATGGTTCACGCAAGCTCCCTGGGGAGGGCTTTCCTGTCTGGTACTTGCTCTTCCCAATGGCAACAAGAACTGGCTCACTGGTCTCCGCAAGGAGGGCAGCTGAGTGGCCTCATGGTTAACAGGCTGGGTACTGGATTCAGATCCAGACTGGGTTAAGTATCTGCTTTATCTCGCTGGGAAGCTTGAGCCGGTATCTGACATCGCTGAGTCTATTTACTTTCCTCTAGAATGATGATGCTAGGGTGGGTGTAGGGTAGAAGGGATCAATGGGGAAAAAAGGGACATCTGTAATTCTTTGAACAATAAAGGTAAATTAAAAATAAATAAAATGATGATGCTAATAGCACCATAGTGTCAGGGCCATTGGGGAAGCTACTTCATACTCTATTTTACAGATGGGGAAACAGAGGCAGAGAGAAGGGACTTGGCTCAGACTGTACACATCCTAAACAGCGGGGCTGGAATTTAAAGCCAGGCAGTCTACCCCCCACCCCCACCACAGTCCCAGTCCTCCACTGTCTGCTACTCTACACACTTTTGGCAGCAGCAGGCCTAGTTACTCCAGATATTGCATTGCTCTTTGCCTGCCCCACACCAGTCTGGGCCCAAGATGTCTGCTTTAGACCTGGGATAGCTGAGGACCCCCTACACAGACCCAGACACACAGACACTCAACTCATTCTGCAGGGCGCCAGGGAAGCTTGGCCCAGGAGGAGGCAGGCGGGGAGACGAGGAGGGGCAATGCAGGAGGTGCCTGCTTGGCCAATGCCAGAGGGAATGCCAGTGCCCACCACCACTGCCAGGCTCCCTGGGTGCTGGCATAGGCCTGTGGGAAATGCCAGCCAGCCAGAGGCCTCAGGCTACCTTTATGCTGCTCAGGACCAGGGCTGGGCCCAGTTGGGCACCCTTAGCCCCTGCATTACCACCACCTCTACCCCCAGCACAGCTTATCCCCTCAGCTCACCCCCAGCCCCAAACAGGCAGAGAGGGCGTGAGAGCACATGGATCACTTGGGGACTGGCAGAGGTCCTGATGGAAGCCTAGGCCTGGGCTACCCTTTGTTTGAGGGGACACAGCCCAGCCTCTGAATAGAGGAGCAACTCTGAGGGCCAGAGCTAGAAGCCCAGGGCAAGGTAGAGGCCCAGGAAGTGCATCACCTAAAATGACTCGGCCTGTGTCAATAGACTCCTAGCCATTTGCTCACAGTAACACCACCTGCCAGGGTGGGAACTCGGGCAGAATAGCTGGAAGGGTGGCCAGGTGGCTGTAGGGCAGACACCAGCAGCTGTGCTAAAGGCCCTCAGGTCACTTCCTCCACCCTCTTTGTGGCAGCTCTTCAGCTCCAGCCTTGAATCAGAGCCTCTGGGGCAGTTTCCCAGGCATCCCCAGGCACTTGCACTGTGCAAAGCTGACCTGTAGTAACTCTCGTCACCCAGCTATCAGTTTATTAAAACCTTATGGCGGTGTGAAATATGGCATACATTCCAAAGTGTGCATACGATATAAGAAATACCTATAAAGCAAACACCTATGTAGCTGGCATGGAGGTCAAGAAATAGAACTCAGCCAGCTCCCCAGAAGTGCCCATCACAATCTCCTCTTTCCTGCTAGGGTAACCGTATTTGCACTTGTGGCTGTTTCCTTGCCTTTCTTACTTCACCTTATCCTATTTTGTGGCCATATTGAAGGACTTCCTGGAGAAAGTCGGACCATGCCCAGTACTCAAGGATGGGACACACCTGGATGTTCAGCCGGGAATACAGCTCCTGGGCGGGCCTTGGGGGCTTCTCCTGGACCGAGCTCCAGCCAAGCACTTTGGTCTCCAATCCTGTGGGCCTGAGCCTCTGTTTCTGTGACCCTGGGGTGGCTGTGGGAGTCCTAACCCCTCTCCTCCAGATTCCTCCTTTTGGCCCAGGTGGCTGCTTTGAAAACTGCAGAACACTGTACAAATGAGGGAATGTTACTGTTATTAAACAATGAGTAAGCTCTTACTGTGTTCTAGGCATTGTACTAAGCACCTCACATGCATTTTCTCATTTAATGCTTATAACCTCCAAGGAGGTAGGAACTATTATTATTATCCCCATTTTACAAATGTGGAAACAGGCCCAGAGACATAAAGCAACTTGCCCATGATTGCAGCTTCTGTGTGGCAGAGGAGCCCCAATTTCCCTGACTCTATGGACCATGCTCTTACCTGCTATCTGTACTTAACTTTACATTATATCCCTTCCACACAGTGAATTGCCCATTGGAAGCCTGTTTTTTAAATTAAAAAAACATATTTTTAAGTCATTGCAAATTAGACTTTCAATAATGGGCAGTTGGAAAGAGGCCTGAGTCCAGGACTCCTGGAGATGGAATTGGCAGAAGGGATGGCAGCTGGAGAGAGGCATGCCTGCTCCCCAGGCCTCCTGGGGACAAGCCTGGGGTCTCTCACAAGGATCCAGGGTGAGTCATAGGGGCTGTGGCTGCCAGAGTTGCTAATGAAAAGGAAAGGTGCAAGGAGGAGGGAGGAGCTGAGTCCCCCAGAGAAGTTCTGAGCCTGACCTGGGTGCCAGGCTGGTTTGTGCACTGGATTATGTTCCCTGAAGGGCCGGCACTGCAATGGGTTGGGAGCCCTGCAGTTCATGACACCTTTCATAGACTTGGGGGATGGGTGGTCAACAAGTAAACCGATAGAGAGGACAGAATTTCTGATAAGAGTTAAGTGCAATACCCGGCTGGTATGGCTCAGTAGTTGAGCGTCACCCATGAACCAGGTCTGGGCTCCTTTCCAGTCAGGGCAGGTGCCTGGGTTTCCCGCGCAGTGCCCAGTAGGGGGCGTGCAGGAGGCAGATGATCAATGACTATCTCTCATCATTGATGCTTCTCTCTCCCTTCCTTTCTCTGAAATCACCAAAAACATATTTTTAAAAAGTTAAGTGCAATACGAAAATGAAGCAGGAAAGGGTATGGGATGAGATGCAGGGCATCCTAGGGAGATGGACTGGAAGAGTGACACCCCTCCACCCTGTTGAATGGATGAAAGGTCCCCTCCATGAAGAAGCAACCCCAGGC